CTAGCTAAAGTGCTGGCTAGCTAGCTAGCTAGCTAGCTAAAGTGCTGGCTAGCTAGCTAGCTAGCTAGCTCTTTTTGTTTCTCTTTGTTTGTTTCTCTTTGTTTGTTTTATTTTTGTTTGTTTCTTTTTTTCTCTTTTTGTCTCTTTTTGTTTCTTTTTGTCTCTTTTTTTATCTTTTTGTTTGTGTTTGTCTCTCTTTGTCTCTATACATTTGTTTCTGTCTCCTTTTGTTTCTGTCTCTGTCTCCGTTTGTCTTTATTTTTCTTTCTGTTTTTTTATTTTTTTGTTTTTGTTTTTCTGTTTTTTTTATGTTTCTCTCTGTTTGTTTTTGTTTTTATTTTTGTTTGTTTTTGTTTTTATTTTTGTTTGTTTTTGTTTTTATATTTGTCTCTGTTTCTGTCTCTGTTTATCTTTCTCTGTTTTCCTTATTTTTATTTTCTTATTTTTTTTGTTTTTGTTTTTCTTTGTTTTTGTTTTTGTCTCTCTTTATATTTATTTTTTTTCTTTTGTTTTGTCTTTGTCTTTGTCTCTGTCTCTGTCTTTTTCTTTCCCTCTGCTTCTGCTGCTGCTGCTGTTGCTGCTTCTGCTGCGGTTGCCGCTGTTGCTGCTGCTGCTTCTACTGCTGCTGCAAAGTTGCTGCTGCTGCTGCTGCTGCTGCAGCAAGGTTGCTGCTGCTGTTGCTGCTGCTGTTGCTGCTGGTGCAGCTTCTGCTGCTGTTGCTGCTGCTGTTGCTGCTGCTGCAGCTTCTGCTGCTGCTGCTGGTGCTGTTGCTGCTGCTGCAGCTTCTGCTGCTGCTGCTGTTGCTGTTGCTGTTGCTGCTGCTGCAGCTTCTGCTGCTGCTGCTGCTGCTGCAGCAAGGTTGCTGCTGCTGCTGCTGCTGCTGCTGTGTGTGCAGCTTTATGATTTATATGAAATAGTGATTTACACAGCCAGTAGAAAAGAATATGCGGACGCTGTGCTCGGTAAACCCTAAACCCTAAACCCTAAACCCTAAACCCTAAACCCTTATTTTTAAGGATATTAGTATAGGTTTTTTTTTTTTCTGTTTGGCGTTGTTGCTGCTTCTTTGTTTATATTTAATTATTTCCTTTCTTTCTTTTTGTTTATTTTTGTTTATTTTTGTCTCTTTTTGTCTCTCTTTGTCTCTCTTTGTTTTTCTTTGTCTCTCTTTGTTTCTGTCTTCTATATTCTTTTGTCTCCTTTCTGTCTCCTTTTTGTCTCCTTTCTGTCTCCTTTTTGTCTCCTTTCTGTCTCTTTTCTATCTTTTTTCTGTCTCTCTTATAATCTCTTTTTTGTTTCATTTCTGTCTCCTTTTTGTCTCCTTTTTGTCTCTTTTCTGTCTCTTTTCTGTCTCCTTTTTGTCTCTCAATATCTTTTTATCTCTTTTTGTCTCTTTTTGTCTCCTTTTGTCTCTTTTTGTCTCCTTTTGTCTCTTTTTGTCTCCTTTTGTCTCTTTTTGTCTCTTCTTGTCTCTTTTAATATCATTTTAATATCTTTTTAATATTTTTTTGTTTTTTTTGCTTTTTTTTTCTCCTTTTGTCTCTTTTTGTCTCTTTTTGTCTCCTTTAATATCTTTTTTGTCTCCTCTTGTCTCTTCTTGTCTCTATTAACATCCTTT